AAAAAAAGCTGAGTTGAATTTAAAATTTTAATAATTCAGTGAAAGAAATTTTTTGATGAAATAGTTAAATAAATGAAAGATATTGGACAAAAGCTTATATTACTTAAAACTTATAAAAATCGTTAATATTTTGATCAATTATGTGACTTTCTTAAAAACTGTAACTTATCTTTAGACAAAAATTCCTATTTCTTTGACTCTTCACTCAGCAATAGAAGCAATTCATCATCAAATCTAAAAAAAAGAAGATTATGAATGTTTTATGAATCTATTAAAGGTAGTCAAAAATAAAGGATCCATGAAAACCCTACTAAATGACAACGGTTTTAATTGTAAAAGTCACAAAAACGAAGATGGAAAATTCTATACTGACTGGGACAAACATTTAGTCGCGCATATCAAGGGTTCAAATTTTAATATGTTACAAGTATAGGAGGACGAAAAGAAAAAATCCGAAACGCCAATGTATCAAAATACCAATAACGAGCAAAACACGGCAAATTGAATTTTTGCAAGATTTTAATAGGGTAAGGAAAGAATATATTTCAATATTAGTTAAATGTCTGCTATTATTAATTTGGAAGATATAAGTGCTGCCAAGGGAATATTAATCAGCTTATGATCAATGACCTATACTGTAATACGTGTAGTAATTAAGCACGTCAATAAAAAAATAGGTTTGCAAAAAAAAAAAAAAAAAAAAAAAAAAAAATTACTGAAACGACAAGAAAAACCCGCTCTCAATTACGAATAAAAATTTTAACTATATTGAATTGCCACTATATTTTTAGATTAATCAAACCTGTTATGAATTAACTATGGTGAAAAGAATATTGGGAACAATCCCATGACCGTATTTTTGTGAAAATTTGTAGCTCAATAATGGATATCACTATTATAGACATCGAACAATTTTTGATTTGCCTGCTTAGATTATGAATTGAAGTTACAAGAGTTGAACGCCAAAGTGTTACTTACAAAAATCGCAAGGTTTAGAACAAAAAGCTGATCAAGGAGAAACAAACCAGATCTTATCATCAATAAATTTCTTCAATTGTTAAACGTGTAGCGGACTATGTGGGTTTAACAGGAAGGTCCACAGCACATAGTCTCTGTATTGGTAGCGCGACTGCTGCTATGAGGGATGGTATGACTTGAAACAATATAATAAAAATATTATGCAATATAAGAGACACACGATATGAAATATCAATGGCTTTTTGCCTCGAATCATAAGAACTGTTGTGTAACAGTTTTTGGTTATACAAGGTACGCGTAAGACGCGTGTACGGTAGGTAAACATTAGAGGTATGATAAGTAGTGCTCCGAACGGGTCGGGTCGGGTTGAAACACTTTCGGGTTAGCACTTCAACCCAACCCGAACCCGACCCGACTCGAACCCGATTTAATAACGTTATTATAATTTTATTCCTGCACATTTAGACAAATTGTTCTCACCATAAAAACCTACTGAAAAAGCTATTTATTTAATTACTGCTAAAAAGGGCTAAAATGGGTTCCACGGTCTGATAGAATTCGGTCAATGATAAATGAAACACCAAATTGGACGATATTAACAAGGATATATATCCTAATTAACAAATTACTATGTGCTGAGAAGTAACTCGCACTACAAAATTCTTTATACAAATAATAATGGATAGTGGGTTATATAATGGAGTTTTTTGAGGAAATTGCATTAAATAATGCCAAACTTATAGACTATGACTGGATTCATTAATTATTCTCATAAAAATAGGAAGAGTGAAGATTTAAATGGCATATCATATTTCTTCGATATTAAAAGACAAATTGTGGAATCCTTTAGATTATTAAAGGTCTAATATACAAAGTATTATGGTTGTATAAAACGTGGAGAACTGTAGTTAATCACTGGAGACAAATACCAGGGCGACACAAAACATTTAATAAAAATGATATGAATGTAAAATATTATAGCATATTTATAATATATAATATTTGAAGAAACATTTTTTTTCGAGTTTGTTTGATAGATTTTTTTTTTTTTTTTTTTTTTAACTGATGTTAATCTTAATAACCTATTATTGCATTGTGAACATAATGAAAAATTAAATGAATCCTCTAAAGTTATTGAATAATTATATTTTACTATTTTTTCTTTAACGAATGAAACTTGATCTGCTGTCTAATTAAATGTAAAAATTCGGGTGTACGCATATTTAATTGAGGTAATTTTGTTATATCACATTTGCATTTTTCACTCCTCGTTTGTATCTAAGTTTTGTATCCCATTAAGTGTAAAAAAAGAAAAATAATTTACATTATAATATTTTATTTATCGTTATGTATTGATAAACAAAAAGCTCATTATATTTTTATTCATATGGGCTAGGTGCCGAGAAAAGGGTCCAAATTGACAATTTTTTTACATCAATCAATTTATAATAAGATTAGGATCATTTTTCACTTAAGATACAAAAGTAGTTGTATTAATAAAATTTTGCATTTTTTTATGATTTACCGATCTTTTTTGTCAATTTTGGTCCTTTTCTCAGCACCTAGCCCATATATTAATAAAAAAAAAATTTATTTATTAAACTTCCGATTACCCCGATTCCCCATACATGTATATGTCGCAAAATTTGTCTGTCCACACTTTTTTGAAAACAGCTGTAAAGAGTTATCAAGAATAAATAGCAAATCTTTTTTTTAGATAAAATTTTTTTTAAAGGCTTATAAGTAATTTAAACTATTTTTTTTTTATAAATTAAGTAATGTATTGCAATTATATAAACTTTATCCCGACACCATTAGAGATTGAAATCATGAATAAATTACTGAGTATTGATTGTACAAGTTTTTTAATCAAACATTCACCGAGCATCGTCATATAATAAAAAGTTAAATTTAAAGTTTCATTTATATAAATAATATTCTGGTCTCATATTTGTTTTTACGCCTCAATTAAACCTTCCAACTTAAAGTTATAGTTGGATAGAGTCCGCCTGTTTAAAACAGACGAGGAATATCCAGAAAACTCAAGCAATCTAGTGATCTGAATTTGGATTTTTTAATAGAAAAACTTGACTTTATTATTATTTGAAAAAGAAACTTCATCGATGCTCTTTAGACCGGTGTTTCGATCCTATATGTCAGAGGCTATTCGGATTAAATTCGGATCCCTTTTTATCTATCCGGTTGATAATTCGAATCGGATTCCCCTGAAAATCAAATTTTATTTATGCTGTATACCTTAATTTGAAGTTGGCTAAAGCGAAGCGATTTCTACAGTATACAAAGTTACTCTCGTTATAGTAAACTTTCAATCTCGATATAGTTAAGTTTTTCTCAAAACCTCGATATTGTAAATTTACTAAGTTAATAAAGCTCTCGATATTGTAAATTTTTATTAATAGAACGAATCGCTTGACTATAGAGTGACGGATCTATCCGTTTAAAATTAATTAAAGATATTCGAATTGTCTGATCTATCCGAATTGGTCAGATTACGAATCGAAACACTACTTTAGACAGCATATTTATGTTTATTTGATTTTCTTAACAAGACACGAACAGAAAACCCTATTTTCCCGACAAATCAAATTTCACAACTTGTTACTATGACAGTTTAATATATATATATATATATGCACACTAAATTTCGTATGCCGATTGTTATTATTTCGGAAATTTGAAATGAACTGTTAGGGAAATAATCTGTCACTTGTTATCTGAATTTAATTATTCGGTTTAAACGTTCCTTTTTAAATTCAGGTGTAAGATGATTTTTTAAAATAATCGTAATGATAATTACCGTTACCGTTACAAATTAAAATGCAGAATATAAATGGTTTAGGTTACAAAATTGGTATCATGAATTTGCAAATTTTTAAACGACCTTTTCATTAGTTTCATTAATTTTATCACTTCCTTAAGTTTCTTTTAAAATCAAATTTCGCCTTAACAACTATAAATTCAATAGTTTTAAAAATAAAACTATATATATTAGATATCGACCATTTTCTATTAACCAGGATAAATATCCGACGGTTATTTGATCGTTCAACACGTGACTTAAATATCTTTAAATATATGCTTGTTCACGTTACACACATTACACACGATACACAAACAAGTATTTAAAGAGTTTAAGTACCAATTTTTTAGTTTCGTCTCATTTTTTTTTTTTATGCTATACTTAAAGTGTGATCAATTCGTTATTATATTATAAAATCATTCGTTATCTGTATTTAATTTCAACTATTCAATGAGACGTGCTTCTCGACGTCGAGTATCTTATGTTATTACTCATAATAAAGATGACCATGGTCATCTTTTAGGTATTAATTCTTTGGCTTTAGACACAACGACACTTAATCCAGAGACTGGAAAACCAGAGGGAATTCTTTACTCTGCTGGGCGTGATGGTGTAATAGCATCTTGGGACTTGCACTTACCATTTCGAGATAAAAAGAATAAGAATATCAATGGATCAATTCATAAAAGTATTGAAAGCTTTAATGAAATTAATGACATGGGTGATATGCTTAAAAAAAATTGGGAAATCGATGATGTTGATCTTACTTCAGTAAATGTTATTTAAAAAAAAAATTATACAAAATTAAATTTCGAAGAATAATAATAATAATAAAAAATTGACTTTGTAACTGTCCTCGTTTATTATATAAATTAGCAATCTCCTCCTCCTTCAACATTTCGTCAATCTTTCCAAAGCCATACCGATTGGGTCAATGACATAATACTTTGTCATAATTGTGAATCATGTATGGAAAAATGTGTCTATTATTTAAATAATTCCCTTAATAATTATAATTTAATAAATTGAATTATATGAATTTTTTTTTTGGCTTTTATGTTAATAT